CCCCAAAACCCCAAAACCCCAAAACCCCAAAACCCCGCATTAAGTCTGGAGTATAGAATATTTTCAAAATTTCATGGAATCTATTGAGGTATCCCAGGAGCAGAACTATAAAGCTTGTGTTGAAAGTGAAGCTGATCAGTTTATGTGCGCTCATTTGGTCCGTAAGTATTCATCGAGATAGTCTTTGTTATGGCTGAGTCCTGAGCTTAGTAATGACTGTTGGGGCTTGAGCTGAGCAGGACAGCATGTTGATAAAAGGATATAAGCACAAAAAGATTTTCTAACTAGCATGCTTTTATTTTTAAGCAAGGGTTTGAATCATTGTGAACCAATAAATTTATAGAGACTGTCCAAAGAATAGAGAATATTGAAGAGCTGGAAATTGAGTCTAGGCTAGGATACATCAAACCTCTTCTCAAGAATCCAAGAGCACCTGAAGGAATGATTTTCAATTTTAAACATGGAGTTGTTCTTCCTCCTGCTAAATGGGGAGGAAAGGTAATCTTAAGTTATTATCAAAGACTATATACGTGTTCACTCCAGGTATCTTTCCACATCACTACAAGAACGTTTTGAGCGTCTTTCAAGAGTTAGCGTAAGACCTCATCCACAAAAATTTAGGAAGGCAAAAGAGGAAGAAAAGCTTGATGAAAATACACTTTCTGATAAGGCAAAGATTCTTAACAAAATCAACGAAGACGATATCTTTGGTATAAACCCTTAATAATTTGTAGAGGACCTTGGCCCTCATAAATTCACAAACGAGACATATGAAAATAAGATTAGAATCAGCAAAGACGCTGAAGGGAATATAATGAAGGTAAATTCTTAAATATATCCATAGGATAAAACCATGAAGAAAACCCAATTGGACGTTCTGAACTACTTCAACCAAGGATACGATTTCAGAATTTCTGTAAAGAAAGAGGAATCCAAGAATGACGAAGTGAAGGAGGAAGGAAAGGAGACTGAGCCAGACACAGAACCAGAGTCTGCAGTCTCCTCTTCTAAACTTCAGATGACTCGTGAGAAGATAGGAAGATCTTTTAAGACCTCGTATCTCCAGTTTGATTTCAATAAGATTACTGAGACTTCTAAGTATACAGCTAAGAAGCCATCAAATCGTAGGTTTAAAATGCTGATTTATAGAGATAAAGCCGAAATATGAGCTAGAAGTTGAGCTGACAGGTCTGACAAAAGTGGCAGGAGATGTGGAAAAGTTATCAAAAGAGATCAGAAAACTGATTAGATTTACTAAATATTTGTATTATTTGTAAATAAGAATCAACTTCGTCTGAAAATTACGGGGTTTTGGGGTTTTGGGGTTTTGGGGTTTTGGGG